TGGACTGTTGGCAAGCTTTCGAGGTCAAGTTCTCACACCTGTGCTTAACCAATTATATGTTAGTCACTAAGGGTCTTCAAGACATGTATCCAATCATAATATGCAAAATCACTGTAAGTGCATGTAAGAAATAGTATTTAAGGGGTTAAGGCTTTGTAATAAATGGCTTTTGTCTGATCATACTGATCTCTGACTGAGTCCATATATTTTCTGCGGCAGAGAGGTGCCATGCTTGACCTCTTGCTCACCAGCAGGGAAGGGCTCGTCAGAAATGTGATGCTCCAGGGCAGCCTTGGATGCAGCGATCATGAGATGGTCGAGTTTGAGATCCTCAGGACAGTGAGAAGAGCATGGAGCAAGCTCACTGCCCTGGACTTCAAAAGAGCAGACTTTGGCCTCTTCGGGAACCTGCTTAGTAAGGTTCCATGGGATATAGCCCTAGAGGGCAGGGGGACCCAAAACTGTTGATTGATATTCAAGGATCACCTGCTACAAGCTCAGGACTGTTGTATCCCAACTAGAAGGAAGTGCAGGAGGAGGGCCAGGAGACCCCCTTGGATGGATAAGGAGCTCCTGAGGAAAATTCAAATGAAAAAAAGAGGCTTATAATAAGTGGAAGCAAGGACAGGCGGCCTGGGAAGAGTACAGGGATGTTGTCCGGGAAGCTAGGGACCAGGTTAGGAAAGCTAAGGCCCAGTTAGAATTAAACTTGGCGAGGGATATTAAGGATAACAGGAAGGGATTCTACAGGTACATAGCAAATAAAAAACAGACTAGGGAGAACGTAGGCCCCCTCAGGAAGCTCTCGGGAGAACTAGCTACACAGGATTTGGAGAAGGCTGAGGTTCTGAATGACTTCTTTCCCTAAATCTTCACTGGCAAAGGCTCTGACCACACCACCCAAGTCTTGGAAGGCAGACACAGGGACTGTGAGAATGAAGACCTTGGGCCCACTGTAGGAGAGGAACTGGTTCGAGACCATCTTAAAAATCTGAATGTGCACAAGTCCATGGGTCCTGATGAAATCCATCTGTGGGTCCTGAAAGAGCTGGCGAATGAAGTTGCAAAGCTGCTGGCCATCATATTTGAGAAATCATGGCAGTCAGGTGAAGTTCCTGATGACTGGAAAAAGGGAAATATAACCCCCATTTTCAAGAAGAGGAAAATGGATGACCCGGGGAATTACAGACCAGTCAGTCTCACCTCTGTGCCTGGCAAAATCTTGGAGCAGATTCTCCTGGAAGGCATGCTAAGGCACATGAAAAACAACAAGGTGGTTGGTGACAGCCAGCATGGCTTCACTAAGGGGAAATCCTGCCTGACCAATTTGGTGGCCTTCTATGATGGGGCTGCAGAACTGATGGACAGGGGCAGAGCAGTTGATGTCCTCTACCTGGTCTTGTGTAAAGCGTTCGACACTGTCCCACAGGACATCCTTGTCTCTAATTTGGAGAGACATCAATTTGATGAATGGACCACTTGGTGGATAAAGAACTGGCTGGATGGCCACACACAAAGAGTCGTGGTCAATGGCTCAATGTCCAGCTAGAGACTAGTAACAAGTGGTGTCCCTCAGGGATCGGTGTTGGGACCAGTCTTGTTTAACATCTTCGTCACTGACATGGACAGTGGGATTGAGTGTGCCCTCAGCAAGTTTGCCGATGACACCAAGCTGTGTGGTTCGGTTGATACACTGGAGGGAAGGAATGCCATCCAGAGGGACCTCGACAGGCTTGTGTGGTGGGCTGATGCCAACCTTATGAAGTTTAACCGTAACAAGTGCAACAAGTGCAAGGTCCTACACCTGGGTCAGAGCAATCCCAGGCACAGCTACAGGTTGGGAAAGAAGAGATTCAGAGCAGCCCTGCGGAGAAAGACTTGGGGGTGTTGGTTGATGAGAAAATGAACATGAGCCGGCAGTGTGCGCGTGCAGCCCAGAAAGCCAACCATATTCTATGCTGCATCAAAAGGAGCATGACCAGCAGGTCGAAGGAGGTGATCCTGCCCCTTTACTCTGCTCTTGTGAGACCTCACCTGGAGTATTGTGTACAGTTCTGCTGTCCTCAACATAAAAAGGACATGGAACTGTTGGAACAAGTCCAGAGAAGGGCTACGAGGATGATCAGGGGACTGGAGCACCTCCTGTATGAAGATAGGCTGAGAAAGTTGGGGCTGTTCAGCCTGGAGAAGAGAAGGCTGCATGGAGACCTCATAGCAGCCTTCCAGTATCGGAAGGGGACCTATAGGGATGCTGGGGAGGGACTCTTCATTAGGGACTGCAGTGATAGGACAAGGAGTAACGGGTTCAAACATAAACAGGAGAAGTTTAGACTGGATATAAGGAGGAAATTCTTTCCTGTTAGGGTGGTGAGGCACTGGAATAGGTTGCCCAGGGAGGTTGTGAATGCTCCATTCCTGGCAGTGTTCAAGACCAGGTTGGACGAGGCCTTGGGTGATATGGTTTTGTGTGAAGTGTCCCTGCCCATGGCAGGGGGGTTGGAACTTGATGATCTTGAGGTCCTTTCCAACCCTAACTATTCTATGATTCTATGGGTGACCCCCTGAGGATGCAGAAGAGCATCCCCCTTCCCCATCCCCTCCAGGAGAGGGGGTGCAGGTGGTTTTCCACCACCACCTCCACCCATCCTGACAGCATCCGCCTTGCCTCCTCCCAAATTATGGAGGCCTGTTGCCAAACCTTTCCTGTGCAGCACAGCCAGCTGCATCGAGCAGAGGGGATGGAGGAGCTTGGTGTGGGCAGCGTCCTGTTCACCAACTGCAACAGGGTCCTGGGGCTGCTGAAGGGCTTATTGGAGCAGAGCAGAACCCCTCAGCACCTCTTTGCTGCTTGCCTGGACCCCCAGGGGAATGTAGGAAGGGTGCTGGGTGAGGGGAAAAGGGGGGGTAGCTCCAGAATGGGTTGGGAAACACAGCACCTGGGAGTGCCACCATCCCCACCAGGCTTTGGGGGGCCAAGCATCAGCATCCTGTACTGTGACTAGCATGAAAAAATACATATGTTTATTTAATTGGCTTTCTCCTCTTGGCATAGAAGGGATGGGGGGTGCTGGGGTCTGGGGAGTGCCTGCAGCCCGCCCATGCTGGGAGCATCACTGTCAGGGTCCTTTGAAGCTGCTGGGCTCAGCTGGGTGCAGAGAAGCAGTGACTCACCCCATATCTCTCCCACCAGGGCTTGTCAGAACCTGTGGCCATGTCACACAGGGCCACCTAATTTCCACCCCAGCACAGCATGGGGCCATCCTCCTAGTGAGCCCCCCCACACCTGATACCTCCACTCCTTTCTCCATGTAGAAGAAGACATTGCATCCGCTCATGCTGCAGTGCCCACAGCCTCATCTGCACGATCTCATAGACCTGTAAGCATAAGCAGCCTGCAGCCAGAAATACACCAGTTAAGGTCTCCAATAGCTGATTAAGGTAATTAATGAAGCTGGTGTCGTGGTTTAAACCCAGTCAGGTAATTCGTTCGCTCACTTCCCCCCCCTTTCTTGCCCTCCCCCTGATCTCGGAGGGACAGAGAGGAGAATCGAAAAGAATGCAACTCCCACGGGTTGAGATAAGAACAGTTTAGTAACTAAGGTATAACACAAATCACTACTGCTACCACCAATGATAATAATGATAAAGGAAATAACAAGGGAAGAGAATACAACACCTCACCACCCGCTGACCGATAACTCGCCCCCCAAGCCCGACCAAGCTCTGACCGATACCTCCTCCAACCCTGCAGTCTCCCAGCCCTTCCGGCTAACTCCCAGTTACATCCTGGGCATGACGTGCTGTGGTATGGAATACCTCTTTGGTCAGTTTGGGTCAGGTGTCCTGTCTCTGCTTCCTCTCAGCTTCCCCTCCTCCCTGGCAGAGCATGAGGCTCACAAAGTCCTTGGCCAAACCAAAACATCATTGTTATCAGCTCTGTTCCCGAGCCGAAAGTCAAAACACTGCACTGCACCAGCTACCGAGGAGGGGAAACATGACTGCTACTGCTGAACCCAGGACAGCTGGAAAGGGGAAGGCAGCTGGTCGGTCCTCAGCCCCTCTGTAACACTGCCTGCACTGCGCCACCAAGCACAACAAACAAATCCAGATATTTTCCTGCAGGGAAATGGCAGGGGCTGATGAAGGCAGCTTGGCAAGCAGTGGCTCTGGAGGTCCCTGTGTCAGAGGAATATATCCCCTGCAAAACCAAGGAGGGGACTGACACCCCAAAAGAGGAGGCAGTGGAGGCAGCTGGGGTTGTTCTCTGCTAGTCCTTTATTTTGGTTGAGGTTGGAGGATCCTGGAACCTGGCTGGAAGCTGAGATGCAATACTAGAGAATTAACTGCTATTTAATGAAAGCTGAGGAAAAAATACAAACCGAGAGGAATGGGGCAATGTCCAAGTCCACCCAGCCTGCACCCATGCAGAAGATTCCTGGCATTTCAGATGGGGTCAACCCCATGGCTGTGCATAGTCCCATGGTCCTGGAAGGAGTGGCATTTTCCCCTTCCTTGGGACCCCTCAAGGGGCTCTGCTGGGGGAGCAGAGCAGAGGCAACATCCCAGGCTTCAGGGCAAGGAGAAGGCATCAAGCAAAGGGTCTTCTGCAATGTTAGGTGGACTCCCACCAACCTGGGCAGAAGGGACAGGCATTACAAGGTGGGACAGGACCTCAAAACATGCCACCCTCCATTAATAGAATCATAGAATAATTAGGGTTGGAAAGGACCTTAATATGATCTAGTTCCAACCCCCCTACCATGGGCAGGGACACCTTACACTATATCATATCACCCAAGGCCTCGTCCAACCTGGTCTTGAACACTGCCAGGGATGGAGCATTCACAACCTCCCTGGGCAACCTATTCCAGTGCCTCACCACCCTAACAGGAAAGAATTTCCTTCTTATATCCAATCTAAACTTCCCCTGTTTAAGTTTTAACCTGTTACCCCATGTCCTATCACTACAGTCTCTAATGAAGAGTCCCTCTCCAGCATCCCTATAGGTCTGTGTCATCCCCCCGGGGTCCCCACTCACAGGGTGCCCTGTAAAGCATCCACATGACCTTGAGGCAGTTGTCCAGCAGTGCCTTGGGGCGTACTGCCTTCCTCCGGCTCTCCATGCCTGCACTGTGAATCAGTTTCACCAGGTCAGCCACCACTACCTCCACGTCCGTCTGCAGGGACAGGTCATTGGAACTTCACCATAGTCCCCACCCAGGGACACCGGACTGCAAAAGCTGCAGCTGTTGCATTGGTCAGGAATCAAACCCAAGCCTCCCACGTGGCAGGCAAGACTTATACCACTGAACCACCAATGCCAAATGTGGAACAACCTACACATCTGACCCATGGCCCCCACAAACCCAGCAGCGGTGGTTGCAGCAAGGACAGGTACTGCTGGCTGGTACACCCCCCTCCATAGAGAGAGGACCCCAACAGACAGCTCAGATGCTGCCAGGGCTCCAGCCACAGAACCACCTCTTCCTGCTGCCTCACACTACCTCCAGCAAGGGGAGGTTGTCAATAGCCTTCAGAATTAACAGCAGAATGAGAAAATCTTGGAGGCGCTGCAGAACCTGTGCCATGGTACAGGACAACTCAGATACACTTCAGGTTCACACTGCAGACCCAGCTGTGACAGGCCACCACGACCCAGCAGCCAAAGGCAACTGCCCCTGGGATGTGGCAGTGCCTCCCAACCCCAAGCAGCCCAATCGTCCTGGGCCACAGCCCTTCAGGGCCACCAAGCCAGGGCCCATCACTGCCCTGAGCCAGGGGGTCCAACTGCCATCATCCCAGAGCCCCTCACTGCCACCAAGCCCTAAGCATCTCCCTGCCACAGGAGTCAAAAAGAGCCCTGTCAGCACTGTGCACCCACACCGGAGTACCTGGACAGTGTCAGGGTGGTGGTGCCCCTGGGTGCCCAGGGAAAACCCCCGGACACCCCGGCAGGCTGCAAAAGCCACAGCTGTTGCATTGGCCAGGAATCAAATCCAGGTCTCTTGTGTTGCAGGCAGGAATTCTGCCGCTGAATCACCGATGCCAGATGTTGGGCATCCCTGGGTGCTGTTCCATGGCCCTGCACCCCAGGTGCCAACTTCTGCCCACAGTAGCCCATCCATGCCATCTCTCCAATTCCCCCATGCAGGGAGGAGGTGTTCACACCCATGGGTGCATGTCTCCACAGCGCACCTTGTGTGTGAATGTACCCCACAGCTGTGTCCATATACCATGCACGCCTGTATGCACAGGCACCTGGTGCACCCAACACCCCCGCAAGGGGTGTGTAAGGCCACATATGAGTGTGTGGATAGAGCTGGGGTGCGGGGGGGGGGGGCAGGGTCTCCCTACCTGCCAGTACTTGCTGTACTCCTTGCCCAGGGCATCCAAGAGCTGGCAGAGCTCCTGTGTGTACTTCCAGGATGGGTGCTTCTCCAGCAGCACCTCATGGATCCTCAGAACAGCCTGGGAGCTGACATGGAACCAGAGATACTGTAGTGCCACCTCTGACACTGTCCTGTTGCGCTGGGGGCAAGAGGGTGGCCCAAGTGAGCCCCTGCGGGCTGCTGGAGTGTCCCCATCATGGGGCCATCCCCTGCCACTGTCTTGCCAGGTGGGTGATGTTGGAGGGCCTCAGCATCTCCTCGTACTGGACCTGGACCGTGTAGTCAATGGGGAAATAGTGTTTCTGGAAAGGTGGAGAAGAGCTCAGGGGCTGGCAGCAGGGTGACGGGGACATCCCTGCCAACCCCAAACCCCAGCGTGACACCAGGGAACTGGTGCAAAAGCCCTTTGACATGGTCAACCCTGGAGATGCACCAGCAGAAGCAGCTCGGCACCATTGGCACATGTTGTTCCTAGTAGAAAAGCCACCCCCAGCACCCAGTCACTGCAGCAGTGGGTGCTGCCTCCCATGACCCCCTCACCCCTGGGGCAAACCGGGGCTCTGCAATGCCATGTGCCCCTTCCACACCCCCCCCCCCCCCCAAAATTGGAGGTTACCATGTACTGCAGGCGCATCTCCTACTGCAGCTTGTCCTGGAGCAGGCAGGTGAGCTAGCATTCACCCAGTGCAGTAGCCTCCACTCCCAGCACAGCCAGGACCCCTGGGGCAGCCAAAAGCAAGGGATGTCAGCCCCCCACCCTGGGGACACCTTCTGTGGTGACCCCTGAGGCCACCTCCCATCCCTGTCCCCAAGCTGTACTCACACAGGACGGCCGCATAGCCCTGCTGCATGTTGACAGTGGCTATCGGCAGAGCCCTGGGCTGTGCCTACATGGCCGGGACTCACAGGGAGCCTCCTGAGTAGCACTGTGCATGGCGGGGGGACGAGGGACGGGCGCAGGCCCCGGGCACTGGACTGCTCTCCGGTAGCCCCGGGCAGTTGTCCCCTGCCATGGATGAGGGGTTAGTTCCCTTTCCTGGCCGTCCCCGATAGCTTCTCCTCTCCGGCTGTCTGCAGGGAGGCAGCAGGTCCCGAGGACATCGCAGGGTGCCGGCAGGGATGCGCTCCCGGGGGGGGCTGTGTGCAGGACTCCCCCTGCGCTGCAAGAAGGGATCTGGGAGAAGAGAGCCCCGGCTGCAGCCCCAGGGAGGGCACCGGCTCCAGTGGCCGGCTCCATCCCCGGGACACACACACACACAGAGCCCAGTCCCGTTATCCCAGCAATGAGTTCGTCCGGCCTCAGCAGGAGCTCAGCTAAGGAGCGCTGGGGTACGGGGCTGGCTGAGTGGACACCCCACGCTGTGTCCCCGCACTGTCACCCCACAGAATGTCCTGCATCCTCCGCAGCGCGGCCCCACGCTGCCGGGGGTCGTTGTGTCCCCACGCAACATGGCCCGCACAGGAGGGCCCCTACCGTGTCCCTGCACAAAGTGAGCCCCTCACGCGCCCCCACCCCGCGTCCCCGGGTAGGGGAGTCCCCGCACACCCACTTGGCGCGACGCAGGGGACACCGGGCGTGGAACGCGTCTCCCCGCGGGCAGCAGCAGGAGGGCCGTGCCCGCTTTTCCGGGAGGTGGGCGGTGGCGCCGGGAGCGGGCGGGGCGGCTGCCGGGGGGCAGGGATCGAGCCACCGCCCCGCCCCGGGACTCGTACGGCCCGGCCTGGCCCGGCCGCGGGGGGGTGCCCGGGGTGTGCGGCCAGACCGGGTGGGTGCCCACGGGGGGACTCGGACGAGCCTCCTAAGGCCCTCCCATATCCTTGGGGTGCTTCGGCTGCCCTGCTGGATGCCCCTGGGGTGCTCAGCTAAGCCTCCTGGGTGTCTCCAGGGTGCTTGGCTCACACTGTTGGGGGCACCTGGGGGCCTTGGCTAACAACCCTGCAACCTGCTCCTCCTGATGACTGTCACTCCAGCCCACAGGAGCCCCGTGGAAGAGGGCACTCAGGGCTGACAGGCATCCAGGGGGTCGGGAAAGATAAATCAGCTATCAAAAAGCAGGTCAGCACTCCCAGGGAAACCGTAGGAAGGAATGCACTTCTGCAAGCAAGGAGAGCCTGCTGGGATTCCCCTGGCGCCAAGTCACGGCCACCACAGCCACACTTCTGCCAGGCATCCCCCAGGCCCTCCCAGCTCTGCACTGGGGGCAAGATGCTCAGCTCCAGCAGGGAAGAAGCTTGTCCAGCTCTTTGATGTCCACAGGGATTTTGTCCACATCTGCTGCAAGCAATAGAGCAAGCCATTTAATAGCATTCCATGCCCACGTAGTCATCAGCTTGGCAGCCAGGATGGGTTGACGAAGAGAAGGGAGTGGTCAGGGCTACATAGCACACTGCTGGAAGTGGCTTGCCCTCCTTGGCTGTGCCAGGCTGGAAGTCACGGCGGGTGTGAGCCCAGGGAAAACAGCTCCTAGCACATGGCTACAGGGGCTTCACTCCACCTTGTCACCCAGCACCTTGCGGCTGCAGGGGCCCAAGGATGGAAGAGAGCCCTTGGCTGGGAGAAGCCCTGTTGCAGAATGACTCTAAGAGCAGAACAATAGAGTTCTGGAGGACTGTGCAAGCAAGGCAGGGGGTGGCCCCCACAGGTGGCCGGAGACCGGACCTGGGAGGAGAATGTGGAGGAAGCTGTGGGGGCTAACCAATACTGTTATGCCAAGAAGGAGTGGCTGAATACCACTCCTATATATGTGTGAACTGCGTCACAAATAAAGTAGAAGTTGCTTATCACCCATATTGGGTTGGCTTGTCTGCTTCTCCTCGCCGCTTACAAATGGCGCCCGAACAGGGACGCGGACTACAGGGCCCTGGTCGCTGGGGACCCGGATTACAGGGCCCCGACTAGCGGGGACCCGGATTACAGGGCCCCGACTAGCGGGGACCCGGGATACAGGGCCCCGACTAGCGGGGACCCGGATACAGGGCCCCGGCCGACGGGGACCCGGAATACAGGGCCCCGGTTTAACGGAGACCCGGATAGAGGGCCCCGGTCGACGGGGACCCGGAACGGCGAGTGAGCGGCGCCGGCGGCAGCGGCCGGGAAGCGCGGGCAATGCTGCTGCGGTGGCGTGACGGACCCGGGTGCTTGGACTAACCGAAAGAATCCGCCGCAGGGGCGTACCAGACACTGCTGCGTCGGGAGGCCGATCCGGAGACCGAGGTTACAGGACGATCCAGAAGAAGACGATCCGGAAAAGGCCGGCCATGAAAATGGACCGAGAGGTAGCCCTGGACTTATTACAGTGCTTTTTATAAAAGCGGGGAACTGAGCCCTGAACTTTTTACAGTGCTTTTTATAAAAGCGGGGAATTGAGCCTGAGACTATAAAGCAGCTAGCAGGTCTAGTGGCTAGGGAAGGCTAAGAGATTTCTTTTGCAGATCCTAATACAATATTTGAGGAGAGTGAGTGGCGACAGTTTGGTGATGAACTATTTGACTCAGTGCTTAATGATTATAAAAAGGCAAAGAAACTCGGTAAACCACGGAGGGAAGTAATGAACTGTATAAAAAGATACAAGGCGGAAAAGAAAACTGCCGCGGTAGCAACGGAGAAATTAGGAACAGACGTCCCCGGTCGGTTGAAACGGGGGGAAGATTACAACTCGTTCCCCCCCCAACTCGCGGGAGCACAGGGTTTCCCACCTCCCCCACCCCGCACCTCCCCCCTTCCTTTTCTCCCCCCCCCCCCCCCATCAGAAGGTGCCGCGGAGGAGGTGTAACTCCCTGCTCCCCCACCACCCCAGTTCCGAAAGTAGGGACTTTGACAAGGACAGAGAAAGTATATTAGAAGGTACACGCATGATGAATGTCGAGAAATCCGAAAGAAAAAAGGCGGTGCGTCGGCGCCGGATCGATTGCGGCGCCACTGTGAAGCACGCAGTAGAAAATAGGGATCATGCGCGAGCGGGAGATTTAAAGGAACCGCGAGCCTTTCCAACCCACTATGCCTTAAGAGTGAAAAAATTTTTAACTCAGTCACAGAAGAGCCAGGTCTGCAGATGGCTACATGCCGAACGAGAGACATCTGATAAGAAAGACACAGCTGCGAGCAACGGAGACCCCGAGTTCGGCGCAGGATCAGTCCCCGAATCCCCTGAATCCGAGCCAGATTAGTATCCTCTGCTTCCAGACCCTGACTCTTCGTCTCCCGGGTCGGTCTGCTCAGACTTACTGGCCCTGGAGACGCTCAGCTGTAACAATGGGTAACCAAAGAGGTGAACATTACTGGGGAATTTTCTGCAATGGGCATTTTTGCATATCCTGTGTTTACTACACAGCAGGGGGCTAAAGAGTGGGAAGCTCTTGATCTCCAAATAGTTAAGGCGGCCTGACAAACAGTGACCACGTATGCGTTAAAATCCTCTTATACTCAAGCTGTATATGTTATGATTTTTTCTTGCAATTGACAGGGGGAGCCCATACAGTTTCTCTGTGATACTCATGTATTAGAAGTTGGTAAAAATAAGTATGTCCATGTTTCTATCAACCCTTGGAGACCTCTGTAGATACTGCTGGCCACTTCTTCCAGCACAGGCTGGCCACCTGTGTCGGAATGAATGTGCATTTTGGTCAGTATAAAAGCCCAAGCCTCACACGATGTGGGGGAGGCAGAGCCTCTGCGGGGATGCCTGCTAAGGTTGAGCCTGCCACCTCGCACTGCAATGATGCTTCTCGGAGCTGGTTTGCTGTTAGTCTCCACAGGGTCCTTGTGCCACGGTCTGTACGTGGGACTGTAGTGGGAGTAATGATGGCTTTTGCATGGACTTAAAAAAAAAAAAGAGGGGGGGAGAGAGAGAGTAATGATGTTACATTTAACTTTAACCTGTCTACTTCTCAAGAACTGATAAGCTGGGGGAGGGGGTATATTTGTGTCCTCCTGCCTACAGGTCCATGGCGACTGTCTGCAAAGTTTGTGAAGCCCTGCCATGAGCTGGACAGACGAATGGATAAACCTGATGCCTCAGCTACAGGAGCTGACCGTGAATACCCCAAGCAGAATGAGATGGAGGAAGAGAAAGAACAAATAACTGCAAAACATCACTTGGGGGCAACTGAAAAGTAACCTCCTGAATATGTGTGCTTGTAAAATAGCTATTATTAGAGGTTGTGATTTTGTGTATAAAACCACCTGTATTTACTAGCTAGTTGCTAATAAGAAACTGCACCTTGTATTGTATAGATTTGTCACTTGTAAAAGAGATGTCAGAGTATGGAAATTTGCAGTAGCTGCTAGAAAATGCTAAGGCAAAAGCTAGAAAAATTTTAATACAATGGTAGTGTTATAAAGTAGGTGATGGAACAAATTAAGAGGGGGGGAGAATTCCACTGGTAAGAAATTTCTTTGGCTAGTCCTTCACTGCCATCAGCATCTTCAACATGCTGCTGCACCCTGTAATAGTTACTCTGCTAATGTAAATGTGTGTGTGCCTTGCTGTAGTAGCGACTTGTTACTGGATAAAACAAAAGGGGGAAGATGTGGAGACAGTGTTCTCACAGGAGAATGCATAATTGGTACATAGGCTTTGAATAGTCCTGAAAGATACAGCAAGGCCATGGGAGGCCTGAAGAAGCTTAAGCAAGCAAGATAAGAGGCTGGAATTCACCAGGTTAATGAGAACTGTGGACTGTTGTCAAGCTTTCAAGGTTGAGTTCTCACACCTGTGTTTAACCAATTATATTTTAGTCACTAAGGGTCTTCAAAACATGTATCCAATCATAATATGCCAAATCACTGTAAGTGCTTCAGCCAGGGCCTTGGCTCAACTAAGCAGACTGGGTTGCTGAGTTGCTAAGCAGA